ATTCCTGCACCTTGGATTTTTTTTTTAATGGAAATGCTGTGTGCAAAGCCTCCCATTTCAGCTGATATTCAAATACAGCTGTTCCTGGGGTGGGATGTTTAAACAGGGTGTGGCCGTGCAATAGGAAACAAAAGCAAACACATTTATCAATTTACAGCCTTTTCCAACCTATGGTGTCATTCTGAGAGAAAACATGCCAGGGAGGAGAGGCGTTGCCTCGGAGGGTCCGGGGGTGCAGCCCCCCCAGGCCAGGTCTGCCCAGGGCAGTGGCACCGTGGCTGGGGAGCCACGGGGCTTTTCTGTAACCACAAGCGGCCCAGCCTCACTTGTACTTTTCCTATTGAAACGGTGACTGTGTTCACCGCTCTGCTGTCTTCCTCAAGACCTTATTACCCCGCAAAACATCTGTGGCACAAGGACTCAGTCCAGAGCTAGCTGTCTTAGCTGAGCCTGGACCATCTTGCCTCTCCAGGCTCTTCTGTGACTCCCCAGAGCTGGTGTAGGGCCCGTCCAGATGAAAAGCTTCTCGCACCACTGACCTTTTTGAGCTCCATGAAGGTGTATTCCATGCCACTACAGAGGCGAATTTCATCCTCGTATCTAAGGAGAGAAAAGCAGTAAGAAATTGCACACGGTGAAAGCCTCTGGGATGCTTAAGGTTGTCTTGCTGGCCCCAAAAAGCACTGGTATCAAAGCTTTCCACTTTTCCTACGATGTCCCACCCCCTTGATATACTTTAGACAGCAAGCAGAGATATCTCTTAGGTGTGAGCATCTTGGACAAGAGAGAAGATAACAAGCGGCTACGTGCCAGCTGCTCTGTAGTAACACCATGAGCACTTTAAGTCTGAAGAGCCCCAGAGTAGAGAGGAGGTAGCTTTCATTCTAATTTAATTTGAGGGCTAAGCAACCTCAGGTTACCTCACATTTGCCACAGAAAGAGAGAGTAGGCATGGAGAAGTGGGGTGTGGTGAGTTATTCTCTGTGAAACCCAGTCGCATGCCCAAAGACTCCTAATTTTTCACCCTAAGCCTTCCTCTTCTGTTTCTTTCAGGTATCCTCAGCATTTAATTTCCAGAGTCTGAGAGTCTTCTCAAGGGAGAAAACTGGCTTGTGAAAATTCTGAGAATATTGGACTGGTGTCATAACCTATCCTAAATGTAGAACAATTTGTGAAGTAACACAGGACCTGGCAAAGCAATTCGTGGAAAATAGTGCCCACAAAGCAAAAGGTAACAAAAACCGAACGGGGTAGGGTGGAGTCCTAATGGCTAAATATCCAGCAGAGGAGCCAGCCCCGCAGGTGTTAAAAACAGGCTTGATAAGGCAGGACCAGGATAGCAAAGACTTAGTCCAGGGGCAAATGCATTTCTTGATGGCCAGCAGCAGGCACAAGAAGGTGGCTTAGGGAATACACCAACCCTGGCTGGCTCTTGGGACAAGCGTGTGGCTAGCCCTGCTGTTGCTAAAAGCAGGTATCTGACCAGGAAGCCACAGTCTCTTTTGGGCCTGGTGTGTGACCAGCAGTGGTTGGTTCGTTTGCCATGCAGGAGCGTTGTGTGATGGGCGTTGGGTATCTCCCACTGTGCTGCTGGGCATGCTCTGGGAGTGTTGGCTCTTTGGAGACCAGAGCAGGTTGTGCGCTCAGGGAGGTCATGGCTTCCCTGCTCTTCCATGATACCTCAGGCTCCTCTTAGCCTAATGTGCTCATAGCGTTTCCAGGCTGCGAATTAAACCTTTCGGTGCTACTTAGAGATGTCACCAAATTGCTGCAGAGAAGGCCGAGATCTTTGGGAATGAGGTAAAATGGCTTCTCCTAACAGAGTGATGATAAAATCAGGAATGACAGTCATATTCTGTTGTTTGGTGGTCTGGTGCATCATCGCTCTGGTTACACTTGAGAGAGCCTTCCCTGCTGTTGTACAAACCTTTAGGAGAAAGAGGAGCTGTGCCTAGGAAAAGAAGGAAGAGAAAGTATTGGGAATGCAGCACGGGGGATCGCATCGCAGGGCAAGGGGGTAAGTCATGCTCAGGAGCTGACCTGAAACATCAAAAGCAGCTCCCTGGAGCTGTTGCTCCCTCCACGGAGGGGATAGTGGGGGCACAGAGGGGATCTGACCAGCACAGGCCCTACAGTTAGGTGCTTCTAAGCTTCCTCGTGGGTACCCCCGTGGTGTTAAACTCACCCTTCTCTTGCCTGCTTTTATAAGGCCAGGTAGCGTGGCTAACAAGCTTTACCTGTCTGGTTTCTCTGCTCTTTAGCTGGAATGTTAGCCATGCTGGCAGGAACTGTGTACTGAGCTTAATTACAGCCTGCCACTCTTCCTTCATCCTCATTGCATCTCAGCCCAATCCCAGTCTGTCCCAGCCTGCCGAAGCAGCTTCGCACATTGCCGGGCGCTGACATAAGCTTGCATATTGAACAAACAACACTCCTGACTGAAAGAGAGCAGGCCCAGCCAGCCAAACGTGCTCACCGCACGGCTCCGGAGGGACCTGGCGGCCGGGAGATGACTCACATGGGGATGGAGCATTCCACAGACACATTACAGCATTTATTCTTTAGAGATAATCCTCAAGCAGTCATGCATTAAGGCATAAAACCATCCCATCTCGATTCATGCATTTAAGACACGCTTGAGATGGGAGTCTGGTCGCCTTGGGCTCCTTCCATAGGCAATGAAGCAAAATCAGAGGTGAACCAAATCTCAGGCAGGCTATGTTCCTCTCTGGATGTGCCTTCAAGACTACTTTAGGGTGAAGATGTAGTGGTGGGATGGATCTGAGCCTGGTGGCATGATATTAAGTCACTCTTCCTCTTGCAGAGCAAGGAAACGGGGCAGAAAGTAGCTGCAAACCAACTGGAGAGGGTGAAGGTAGAGGGGTGTTGACTGTCCAGTCTTCGGGTGGCAAGATTTGACTAACACAATCCCTGGATCTCAGAACTGGATCCTCTAAGGGCTGTATGCCCCATATTTTCCTGCAGTATCTCCCCAGTGCCACACCAGAGTAGGTCAGCACAGGCAAAAATTCCCTGCCTTCTCATTCAGATGGGTCTTTGCACGTGCAAATCGCACGTGTGGGGAGCTGAAGTAAACACTTGTGCCGATGTGCACCTCTGGGCAGTCATCCCTATTCGGGTATGTTTCAGTATTTGTTTTTTCAGCTTGATTTCCTAAAGAAGCAGGGTTTGAGATCCTGCGCCAGCCTCCAACCCGCTTCCCTGTCCCCTCTCCATCCTTCTCTGCGTTGGGAATTGCTGGTCAATGGCAACCTAATTTGAGAAGGAGGTGCAAGTGTTCTAGCTAGTTAGATCTCCTGTATGAGTTTTGGAAAGCAGCCCCTGGATAGCAAAGACGGACAAATTAGGGCCTTACAGAGGGGCACTGACAGGCAGGTTTCACACGTGGCAGCAGCCTGCTTGGGTGGTCACTGTGTGCATGGCGCATTACGCCTGGAGTGCTGCAGCAGGGATGAAAGCATCACCAGTTAAATGTGCCAGTGTAGTTATTAGCTTTTCCTCCCCCCAAAAAATTCCTTTGGGAAGAGAAACCTCCACAGGAGTTGGACGCCTCCAAAATTTGCATGTTTTAGGCAGACCATTTGCTCCAGAAAAACAACAGGGCTGAGGCAGCCTTCTCGAAGGCGGCGTGCAGGACTCAACAGAGCCAGTGTGGGTTAGGACGGGGTTGGATCGCTGCCTGGAGGAGGCTCAGCAGAAGCAGCAGTTCTCTCCCCATGAATCACTAACCGCTGGGAGCAGCACGGTGGAGTGTCGCTGTCGCAGAAATCCACCTGCACTGGCTTTGGGTGTTAACAGCACCCAATGACAGGGTGGGTTTTGCCTATTTGCTGCTTGTGCCTTGCAGCTCAGAAATGGGAGAAAGCAGAAGGGGAAGGCTCCACAAATGAAGGGAGAGTGCTTTGAGGAGCAGTGTCATTTCTGAATGCTCTTTTCCTGTGGCTGTGTAGTCCCACAAAGCGGGAACTCTTCTCAAGACCAATAGCTGGGCTAGTCATAAGCTGGTGCCCGTTGTGGATTCTCTGCTGTCTAGTACTGTGCATGCCGCATCCTTATCCTCTGTGCGTGTTGGGTGTAGGATGGGTCCTGTGCCTCTAGTCAGTCTCTCTTTTTAATTTTGAGGGATGTAGCATCCCTATCATGTCTATCCTGTTGTCCAGCTAGGTAATAAGTGTCCAAGAAAATCAAAAGGTAGGGGGAAACACACAGCCTGTTTGTGTAAGCACCTTTATCCTTAAGAAATCAGGCTGAAAAAAAAAAATGAAGTGCCAGGCATAGGCAATTAATGAGGCAATTACTGAGTACAAACTGTGAGAGCAGATATGGGTGACTGATCTGACATTTCTCTACCACCCCAACCATTTTCCTATCTGGCTTTCAGGGAATAAGCCAAGAAGTATCTTTTATAACTGCAGGGCCACAGAGGAGATGTTCCCTCAGGGAACTGCAAGGAAGACCAAGTGCTCCAGAGAGGGATGACAGGTCTGGATCTTTTTAGGGCAGGGAGTAAATGGCACAGTCCCTGTCGTGGCTTTGAGCCAAGCTCAGGGTTGCTACCTGTCAGCAAAGCAAGCATCAGCGAGCCCAAGTGTTGTAGTGAAAGCAACATCCAAATAAAGAGCAGACAGACACCCACCATGAGGAATTTAGGGCTTTCTAGGCACCTGGGTATCAATGCATCACTTCTTGAAGGGTGCTGAGCATAAGGATTTCAGCATAAGGTCAAGAACCAAACTCCTAGTTCCTATTCCTGCTCCGCCACCAGCTCGCTCCATGAGCTTGAGTAAGCCATTTAACCGCCATGTCTCCGTTAATACGTCTGTAAAGTGGAGGTATCGGTCCTTCCCCTAATTTGCAGACACGTTGAGTAGCTGGTTTAATCAAAGTCTTCAAAGAGCTTTAAGATCCTTGGGCTAAACTCTCTGGAGAGGGCACTGTTGTTATTTATGCATCATTTTGTACATCAGGAGCAGGTATGGGCTCCTACTACAGCGATGTCTGTCAGTGCCAGCGGAGGGGTAATCCCTTAGCATCACCGTTCTGTTTTGACAGTGCCCATACATGGCTCTGCTACAAATCAGCATGGAAGACTCCAGAGGTCTTGTGTAGGCAGATGGGTGTAACTGTAAGGGAAAGTATCTAATTGTGGATTCGGCTGTGGTATGCAAATGACACCGATAATAAGGAAAGCATTGTCTTCTTGAATGAGCCAGGGCACATCTCAAATGCTCTTATCTGAAGATCTCAAAGCTCTTGGCAAAAGCAGCGATAAGCACGTGGCAGCTGGTCCTCCCTTAAACTTTCAGCTGCCTCAATATTTTCTGTCAAGAGTTTTTCTGGGTAAAAGCCTGAGTTTTTGGTCACAGCAGAATTTTGTATTAAATGTTGTGGGGTGAAGGGGGAAAGGAAGGGATGTTTGTTAATACTAAGCAGCCTAGGTCCATAAAATGGTTTGGGGAGAAAGTTCTGGCTTGTGATAATAGTGTGGAGAATAAATATTTCTCTGTTCTTAGTGGCTGTCATTCCCGAGAATACTGTTCTCCAGAGCTGCTCTCTAGCCTGAGGCATTTCTCAGATGCCCTGCACTCTTTGGTATTTTGCTTTTTATGGGTTTCCTTTCATCTCTAGTGAATCACGAAGAGGCTAGGATGCTAACTTCTCAAATCCACAGTTCTGTGCACAGCACACTAGGAATTTGTTCCTGGGAGTAACAGGCTGTCTGTGTTAAATCAATCCCACGCTACTCTTTGTGCGCACAGCTGAACTGATACCTTGCAAACACATTCCCCCTGGTAACAGCCAGCTAGGCTAGACACCTACTTGCTCCGAAAATCATCCATGGTGCTCAGGACCTTTGTCAGCTCCGACTCGAGATTTTCCTGCTCGTAGTTGAGCGCCTTCATCTCTTGATTCATTTTGCTCATGTACTGATCGTAGATGGCCTTCACGTCCGACTCGGAGTGGGTATTGTCTTGATCCTTCAGGAAGTTCCACCTTGTCGTCAGGATCTTGTTCTGTTGCTCCAAGCACTGGACCTGCAGAAGAGGTTTCGGAGACGTTAGTAACACCAGCAGCCAAAAGCAAAGCTGACTGCTCCTGGCAGGGCAGGAGAGATCGACCTGGAGACCTTCAGAGCAGTGAGAAGCTGCTGGAATCAGCAGAGATTTCCAGGTAAGAACAAGAAATGCTCTGAAAATTAGGCCTGGGGATGGAGGCCTATAGGAACTTTAGAAGTTTTACATGTTACCTACTAATTAATTTCTTGATAGAACATGTTCACGTCAAAATGAATGAACATCTTGTATTAAGTCACTGAAAAATGAGAACCGTTCAACACTGGTCCCCTTTGCCTGTCAATATACTGAAGCAAAGGCTGAAAATCCACCACAGGTCATGCACAGATGTCCAGGGTGAATGGAAGTCACGTTTACTGCCTCGGATTGGCACAAACAAAGATAACTCCTCTCAAATCTGTAGGATTACACCATGGTGAAGTCTGAGTAGTGAATCAGAGTCCTGGTTTGTATTGCAAAGCAACATAGACAAGGCCTATGGGAACTCGAGAGAATAAGCAAAATAATTACAGGCTCCACGTGAGGTCTATGTGTGCATGCGCCTGTCTGCTTGAGAGAGGATACGTTGCGCTTTCCTCCGCCCACCGTTTGATGAATCTGGCGCTCTTCTTTCCTAATATTCACAATCTTAACAGCAATGCTCAATGCTTAACAGTTTTCATCTTCAAAGCTCTTGGCTAGCTTCGATTAATTATCTAATTGCTACCTCTCATTGCTCTGTGAACAAAACTGAACTCCTTCAGTCACGTTTTAGCTGGTTAATTTGTGAGTTGCCTCCAACAGTGTTCTCCACTGTACCATGGAGATGGTTCAATGCCGATACTACGCCCTGTGCAGCGTGAGCAGTGGGGTGCAGATGCTATCAGGCCTTGACCTGCTTGGCCTTCAGCTTTGACTTTAGCTTTCTGTGGCCCGAAGCAGCATCAGTGCATTGAAGAGGCAGAGTTCCCAGCTGCTGACCGCTGCACAGATGCACGTGGTGAGAGACAGCATCTTTCCCAAAATGCTTCTTGTCTGAACAGAGAGAGAGAAGCAGGAGCAGAGAGCAGCCAAGCAAAGCAAAAGCACTCCTATGCTCGCAGTAAGTTTTCGGCAGAAGGGATGTGAGTGTTGGGATCTTCCAGGTCTCGCTGTTAGAGACCTAATCCTCTCTTCCCAATATCTTAACTCATGGCCGTAGACATCCCATCAGTAGTCCAGTCTGCTGACGGGCTGTTTTGCCCTGGCCCAAAACCAGTGGCACACTGTGTGTATATGCATGCGTGAGGCTGAGAACCAGAGGAGGATTCTGCAGTGGAGCCAGAAAGGGGCTTTGCAAGAGGGACAAGTAAGTGGCCTCCGGGGCTACCAGGAGCCAATTGGGCCATTTGTTCTCTCCGTCTGAGCATGTTGGGCACTGTGATAGAGCATCCCTCCACGGGACTGTGGTCAACCTGTGGGGCTGGCTGTAGGGAACAGCCTCTCATCTTAAGACAGCTTCCCCGTTTGGTGCTGGACGGTCAATGACTGAATGCGTTGGCTGTTGTTCTAAGTCCATCTTTGACCCTCAAATCAAGTCTCAGTTCCTGAACTTGCTCCTAATCCTTAGCTGCGCTTTTTCTCCCTCCCCCAAACTCTTCAGTTTCTTTCCTGTTCCCAAACCATACCCATCCACTGGGCTGA